TAGTAGCGTAGCCAATCAAAATGCAGGATTTGCATTAGTCCACTAGTTGGGTGATACTAATTGTTATTATCATTCAACTACTCCGCCATGGAAGATCAAGAGAACACACAAAGTATAGGGACTGTGTATGGCCCATATTATTTTCAAACTCTGGAGTAAAGTCCATTTACATGTGTTAGGATACTACTGCTGCGCAACTGTAGAAATGTATTCTTTTAATTTAGTGCCTGTACAAAGCCTTGTTTCCTTGACTCCTTTCTACTGAAAAATGCGTCAACAACTGCGACGATCTTACAGTTGCCGTGGCACTCGCGATGGCTCTTCCTGAAGTCAACAGACTTGTACTTTCGTATCTTATTAGGTTTTTACAGGTACGAATACCGCTTGTGTGAACTTCACGCGCTCAGCTCACGTCTGAGACTGGAGACGAAAAATTCTGTGCTGTTGACGTCACCCTGCAGGATTCCGAGCAGTGTCTCTGATTGGCTGTTTTTCGGTTTTGAATTTTCGCGCGCTTTTATCGACCAATCAGAGGGCACTGTAGAGCTACGTCATTGGTATGGGATTTTTCAGAGAGATTCTCGAGCGCGTCTTCAGCGCGGAAAGATTTTCGCGCGCCCAGACAGAACTCTCTTTCACGTGATTATGTGGACGTTAACTATCGATTGTTTGCAATTTCAAATTTCTTTAACGATTTTTAAAATAATGTCACCACTGAAATACACATGGGTTATTGACCAAGCGTGAGGCCAAGATGGCTGGATATTGGTCAAGTCAAAAGAGGATTCATTATGTGAAAAAAGAACACTATTTTCTTGTGAGACACAGCGCGTAATCCCGAACGGGCAAGATAGCTCCATCTTACATAATTTTAGTTCAGCTTTTTTTTGACGTTTATCTTTCAACGTTTATCGTTTTTGTTGTTTGCAGATATTTTCCCTTCCCGACATGTGCGCTGTGACAAAAATGGATGTGAATAACTTGTCGATGGTGTGGGCGCCCAATTGCCTTCGCTGTCCCTCAGATGATCCTAAGGAAATCTTTGAGAACACGCGGAGAGAAATGACTTTTATGAGAACTCTGTTACGAAGCCTGGATACATCGTTTATGGAAGGCGTTCGCTGACAAACAAACGTGTTAGCGACCACTTCAACAACAACAGTAACGACAAGAACGAACCGTAATTCTGAAAAGAACGATTTCAATTCAGTGAGAGAGGAGTAACCTCTATTTTCAGCCTGGTTAAGCGAAGTTACTTCCTTCTGCCGGATCGAATGCAAGCAATTACGGAACATTATTGACACCAACTTTGCATTCCTTTCGGTGCGTCGAGACGGTTTTATCGTGACGTTTGTGAGGTTCCTGTTGTTGTTCGGGAAAGGGGTGGGGCAATAGCAGAAAAGCCTGCGATAAAAGGTGAACGAAACATTGTACATATGAATAAAGCTCCAGATGTTGTAGAAATTGTGGTGGCTGGTTGATAAGGGAGTTTACAGGGTGTCTTTGCTCAGTATGCGCGAACTGATTTAGCCTGCGATTAGACGTTCTTTTTTCCGGCGGCGAACGGGAAAGGAGTGTGTTTT